TACAGGCCCCAATTTTTATTAATACTAGATTTATCGTTTAACATTCTACATTAACTTGTCCGCAACTTTAAAAAAAATTAAATGTTTTCTATTTTGCACAAAAACACTACTAAATAAGTTTTTTAAAAAATTAATGTGGCTAATACTTGACTTTTTAATCCAATGGTTCTTGGAAAATAAAGTTTACAGGCCTCTACAAAACACAGAACCCCAACTTCAAATGACTCTTAGTGCAAGGATTTTGTCATATTGGCTGCCAGCTCATGTTACCTAACCTACCCACAGGGAATGATAACACCTTAGAACTATCAGTCTTTAATTGTTCTACCTCTATTAAAATTATCTAATCAACAAGCATTTAGTAAGGAACTACTAAGTGCCAAGCAAAAGCCTAGAGATACGAAGAAAGGCAAAAACACAGTGCCTGCCCTCAAGGAGTTCCCAGTCTAATGAAGGAGACAATATACAAACAGCTATGTACAGATAAGATACATACTGGATAAACTGAAGATTATTCCAAAAGACAGCACTAAAGGGGATGGGCATACAGCCTGAACCAGACTAAAATGAAACTGGAAAAGATTTAATAAAATACAAAAATAAAACAAAACATAAATAACACGTTAATATGTGTTTTCTAAGTTGCTATGAGCCCAAAGGAATCTTTATATGTGGTTTAGCAGCTCTTGCTTCTATTTGAGGTTGATTCTACTGCTGTAGAAGGTGGGATCTGAGCTGAAACTTCAGAGGCCAGGAGGCAGAGATGAGGAGGGAAAGCATCCCAGGCCTTGGGGATAGCCAGGGAAACGTCCCAAGCTGGGAGAGGGAGGATCTTGTCTGAGGAACAGCCAGGAGGGCCTGTGTCACTGGACGGTAGAGCACGTGGAAAGGAAAGAAGACTGGAAAGGGAGGAATGCCCAGCTTATGAATGGCATCTAAAAGTCAAACAGAGAACACAGAGCCACTGCAGTCTACCGACTAGGGGAGGGGGAACTACGGAAGAAAGGATTAGAAAGGGAATTGACAGCTCGGCTCGGCAGAAGAGGTAGAAACCTGCCCGAGCCATAAATTCTCCGAAAATCAGAATGGTCCAAACAGAAGCCAACAACTTCATGAGGCAAGAAGAAATACTAAAATAAAATCAAAAGCCTGGGGGAGAACAGAAGAAAACATTACATCAGTAACAACTGACTTAGAAAACAGACTGAGGGGAAAAAATTAAGGACCAAAAAAAAGAGGGATCATGTGACAATCCAAAGGTCAAGACCAAAAAAGAAGTCTAGACAGAATATTTCAAGAAATTTTAAAGGAAAACTGCCTAGATCTCTGAGAACCAGAGGGCAAAGTGTAAACAGAAAGAATCCATCAGTCATCTTCTGAAAAAAAATGCCAAAATGAAAACTCCCAGGAAAACTCCCAGAAAGATCCAAGGATTCCAAATAGATAAATTAATTAATTAATTAATAATAATAATAATAATAATAATAATACAAGCAGCCAGAAAGAAAGAATTCAAGCACCAAGATGCCCCAGTCAGCATCACGTACAATTTAGCAACCACCACTATGAAGGAGCAGAGAATTTGGAATATGATATCCCAGAAGGCAACGATGTAGGCTTACAGCCAAGAATAACTTACCCAGCAAAACTGTGTATAATGTTATAAGGGGAAAAAAAGAACTTTTAATGAAGTACAGGACTTCCAAGCATTCCTGATAAAAACACCAGAGCTGTGTAGAAGCTTTGAAATTCAAACACTGGAGGGAAGAAAATTATTTTTAAAAAAAACAGAAATAAAGGACTTAACAAGGATAAATTTCTTACATTCAAATATGGGTAGATGATACATGTCTCTCCTCTGATCCCTATCATCTTCAGGGTCCACAGAGGGAGTCCAATTAGACAAGGCCTAGGAGTAGTTCTGTTATGCCTTGATGATCTTAAGAATGAAAAGGAGGGAAGAGGAAAATGCTGAGGGGCAGGAAGGAAGAAGGTTAGGGAAAATTATCTCACATAATTTGGGTACACAAGTAGACATTTATACAAAGAGGAGGGGTAGAAACTGCTGATATATGAACTTCACTCTCATCTAAATTGGTCAAAGGAGGGAAGAATACGTACACACATACACATACACACACACACACACACACACAGAGTTGGGTACAGAAGTACATTTCACTCAACAAGGAAATAGGAGCACAGAGGGAATTAGAGAGAGGGTATATTAAGGGATGGATTAGTTCTAAGCAAAGCAAGCTCTAAGGATGTATAAAAATATTTATAGCTCTTTTTGAGGTGACAAAGAATGGGAATCTGAGAAGGTGCCTGTAAGCTGGACAATGGATGTACAAATTATGGTTTATAATGTGATGGAATACTATTAAACTCATATCAGAATAATAACCAACCAAGATTCCAGAGAACTAATGATGAAACACACACCCAGCTCCTGATAGAGGTGAAAGACTCAGAATGCAGAATGGGACAAATATTTTTTAGGCAAGGTCAATGTAGAAGTTTGTTTTGATCACCTACACATGTTTATAGCAGCGTTTGTTTTTCTTGTGTTCTCATTTAAGAGGGGTAGGGTTGGGGCAGGAGGATAATAAGGTAGATCTTGGCTTCTTAAAATATGTATATTTTTAAATTTTTAAAAGTGATCACTGGTAACTTTGGAGAGAGCAGTTTTGGTTGAATGAGGTCAGAGGATAATTAAGAAGTGAGAGGAAAGGAAGTGGAGACACCAATGATATGTGGCCTTCTTGGGGAGTTTAGCCACCAAAAGGAGAAGAGATGTGGGGATGGATGGGGAGACCCAGGCATGTTGGCAGGCAGCAGACAGGGAGAGTTTGAAAAAGAGTGAGAAAGTGAGGATGACAGTAAGAAACAATCTAGAAAAGGCAGAATGGAATGGAGTCATGTGGGCAAGTAGAGGATCTGCCTTGGCAAGAAAGGTGATGGGAGAAGAATATTTCAGTGAAATATGAGGCCAAGGCTCTCAAATGAGAAGAAAAAAAGAAAAAAAAAAAAAAGAAAAAATAGCTCCTGCTCTCAACTTGTACAAATAGCATAAAGAGATCAACTGGACCTCAGAAATCCTCCTGAGTCAATAAGTATTCATTAAGACTCCATGTGCCATACCCTCACTTTAGCTCACTTCTCCATCTATCCATCCCCTCATCCATCACCTCACTCTCTTTCCTTACAATCCTGACCCTAGAACTAGTGAGTGAAACTCCACAGCATTCCCTGAGCTTAAGTTTGTCCTTGTCAAGCCACCCAGAGTGCCAGCCCTCCCCCTCTGGCACTGCCAGCAGCTGCCAGAAGCTGCTCCTAATCTCAAACTGCTAAATGCTAATGGATCATGTCCACTAGGAAATCAGTTCCCTAAATCAGCTGAGCTCGGCAATCGATCCTTTGAATCTTCTGGGATAAGATTATCACTCTCCCCAAAGCCCAAGAAGTTACCCAACCTCCCTCCACAATCTCAGTAAAGATTTATTAAGGGCCGTGGGGCTCCCAAACCAAACCAACCCCTATAATCCCCACTATGGAGGCTAAACGGCCTCGCCTCCTTCTTTACTGAGAAAATGCCCTCCCTCGGCTCCCCTTCTAGACTATCCAGGCGCTCACCTCTTAGCTCCAGCCTTGCAGAAGTAATGGCCCTCTTCCTTACCGGGCTAACCCTTCTAACTATGCTCAATCCCCTGTGTCTCCCCTGAAGCCTGCCCCTTCGATCACAGCACTCGTCATGATTCCTGAAGGCCTGGGACTGTTTACACAGCTTGTTTATACTGTTTGTTTGCTTGTGGTCTCCTCCTGTTAGACTATAAGCTGATGGAGGGCTGGGACTGTCTTATATCTCTTTTTGCATCCCCAGTGCTTAGCACAGTGCTTACACAAAGTAGGTGCTAAATAAAGGTTTGCTTCCCTGCTCAAAATTTTACTGGCTCCCCTTCCCTGTAGGATAAGATATCATCAACTCCTGGGCCTAGAATTCACTGCCTTCCAGAGTCTGGCTCCAAATGGCCTTTCCAGCCTTATTTCACGGAATAAAAACACTCTGCGTTTGAGCCAAAGTGGATGAGCAGCTATTCCCCAAACTCGACATTTTACCCCCGCCTCTGTGAAGCCCCACAAGCTAGCTACGCCCCCTGCTCTCCACATCTCTTCCCCTTCTAAGCATAGCTCAGATACGATTCACTGGCTATGGTTCTCTCCTCAAATTACTCTGCATTATACTTATCAATTCTATTAAGAGGCAACTAGGGAGGGCAATGGATACAATTCTGGGCCTGGAATCAGGAAGGACCTGAATTCAAATTGTGCCTTGGGAACTTACTAGCTGCGTGACCCAAGGCAAGTCACTTTTGCCTCAGTTTCCTCTTCTATAAAATGGAGATATAATAGCACCTCCCTCCCAGGGTTACTGTGAGGATCAAATGAGATAACATTCGTAAAAGAGCTTAGTACAGTTCCTAGCACACAGCGGGTGCATCACTATTATTTTTCCAGATAAATGTTTCATCCCCCAAGAAAGGGCTGACTTGCTTTTCACTTTGTACCTCTAGTGCTTAGCACAGTGGCCTAAACACTCTAAGTGCCTAATTAATATTTAAGGCATTACATAGCAAACACACCCTGAAACTGAGTAAGTTTGCCTGTGAGGCAGTGATCTGACCGTCACAAGATGGGGATTCATGACCTGTCATGATAGCACTCTAATGCTTGCAATCCTCACTCCTCACCACCCCAAGAACTACTGGGACCAGGAGTGCAAGCACGCCCATTTTACAGAAGAGGAAGGACCCCGATGCTCAGCAGTGACACGTACGACCCACTGAGGTCACACAACCCAGAATCGTCAGAGGCAGGATTCATTCCGGGGTCTCCTGACTCCGAGCCTGCAGCTCTTTCTCCTAAAAAGCCCAATAACTCCCGATGGCCACAGCAAACACTCAGAAGCAGGTGAACCACACCGCCTACTTCTGACTTACTTTGCAAAGATTGCCATGAGTTTTTTTCTGTTTCTTCGTGGTTCTGAATCTTCATCAAATTCCTCCATCTCCTTCCCCAAAAAGACCTCCTGATGAAAGTCTTTGTTGAGGTGCCCATCCATCTCCATCTTGACGCCGTTCAGGTGGTCTCGGGGCAGAATCTCGTTCTCGTCCTTGTCCATCCCCTTCTCCTTCAAGGCCGAATTGTTCGCAGGCCTGGCGTAAACATCCATGAGGAGGAAAACGAAGAGCAGAGACAAGTAGATGGAGCCCAGGCTGCAGAGGAAGGCCTGCTTGGACACCATTTTCTTCGGGCTCTTTAACAGGAGCTCCAGTATCTTCAAGGAAGGATCCAATGAGCTGCCAAAATAAAAACGAGAGAGTAAAGCTCTCCGAAGTCCCCAAGGACAGCTGACTCTGGCCTCCCCTAGGGGGGCCTCAGTCAACTAGAGACCCATTAACAGACCCACCTCGAAGCCCAAGTATGCGCCTCCAAAGGACAAATGTATTTTGTCACCTGAGGAGTCAGCTTTCATGATAATGGGAACACCCAGAAAACAGCCTGGTGGCACATGCCCACAATCCCTGCTGCTGGGGAGGCTGAGGCTAGGCGGTCACTGGAGTCCCAAGCAGCACTCAGGCTACAGTGGAATGGGAGTCCACCCTACATCCAACACTGACCCGGTGAGCCCCTGGGAGCCAGGATGACTGGGGGGCAAACACGGCCAGGCTAGAAAAATGGGGGCAGTTAGAGCTTAGGTGCCTATGAGCTTGGGGGAGGGGGGTGTCAGGCCTATGTGAGGCCACTGCACCTCTAGCCTGGGCAAACAGTCATACCAGACTAATTTGATTTCATTCTGTGACAGGGTTACTAAATTGGTATATCCGGGGAATAACATAAATATGATTCATCCAAATTTTAACAAACCACTTGATAAAAGTATCTTGCACTGTTACGTTGTTGGGGGGTTTTTAATTATAGTGATATATTTTATTTTTATATAATTCTCCTTTCCCAGCCAGAAGGCTCCCTCCCCCAGGAGGCATAAGGACCCCGGGGCAGGGCGGGGGTTTTTCAATACTGGGATATCCCAGGAGAGGAAGCCCTTCCCCAATGTAGGTTCATCCCTTCTCAGCACCTGCTAATTCTGCAGATGTGGAGGTGACCTAACCAGGCCAGATAGGCAGGATGTGACAGGTCAGCCCCTGAGCCCTTGTAAGAATAAGAAATAAAGGAGGAAAATAACCACAGAAAAGCGGCCAGCAGAGCAGCCAAGTCTGAGACCTCCCCCAAGAAGAGAATGTATTTTCTCCTCTCATCCTTAGAGCCAGGCTTGGTCAGTAATCACGACACACTGTTCAGTTTTGATTTTTCTGTTCTTTCCATTTATCTTCTGCTACTCTGACAGGAAAATGGAGAGATGCGGACTAGAGGAAAGCACAATTAGATGATTCTGTATGGACTGATGGGCCAGCCTCCAGGAGCTGGGAAAGTCTCCAACAGAAGGAACCCAGGATCTCTGTGGCCTGCGGCCATGTAACCCGTTTATCAGTAAGCTGGGTAAAGTCAAAGAGCTTCTAGCAAAATCACTGGATAACACAATGAATAAGTAAGGATTCAAAAAAGGTGACAGGCTCAAACAATGCACAGAACCTAATAAGATGAGATTTAATAAAGAAAAACACTGGGCTCAAGAAATCAGGATGGGGAAGCACAGTTAGAGAGGTGTTGGTCTGAAAAACACAAGGGGCTATTGGATTGCAAGCTCAATGCATCAGTAGGGTAGAACTGCTAAAATAACCCAAAGCCACTTGAGGCTGCATAAAGGGAGAATGAGCAAAAGCCAGACCCATTGTATCTGGTCCTAGGGTGTTGCAGGCTCTTCTGAGCACCACATCTTGACAAGCTAGAGAACATCCACAGGAAGGCAACCAGAATAGAGAAGGGCCCCACATTCATGGAAGTCCATCACAGACCCAGGGATACCATAGCTCCTTTGAAGTACTCAAAAGCAGGACTTAATCTCCTCCAGTTTGGTGCTGAAAGGCAGTAGGGAGAAATTGTAAAGAGGCAAATTTATGCTTCATTTCAGAAAAAAAAATGTAACCACATCAGGAGTTCTCTAACATGGGAGGCAGTGGGAGCCCTCTGACTAAAGGTATGTAATGAGAACATGACCACTATGGTCCCTTCCATCTCTGAAATCCTGTGATTCTAGCACGGAATAAGCCCTGTTTAAACGAATTCACTTTTTTGTGGCTTAAAATTGGAAGCCCAGCAGATCTGGGGAGACTTGTAATCTAGGCCAAAAGACAAAAATTCAGAGATACTCGGGAGTGACAAGATTCACTACCCTTCCTTTCTGCCTATAGGTTTTAGCTCTCTCTATACCCACCCAAAACATCCCCTCCTTTTTTGTTCCAGCCCAGCAGGTCCAAAATTCACATTTTACTGATTTGAGGGTAGGAGGGCCAACTAGAATCCCTAAATCTATCAGAGAGAATAACTTCAAAAGAAGCCCCAAAGTCTCATTAATCTTTCCCATGAAAAAGGTTTCCCAAGCAGTTATAGGTAAGGGAAAGGCTCTTTCAAAAGCCCTTTTCTCCAAGCGCGACAAAAAATACATTTTGTGACTGGCATATCTCTGTGTTCTCCAGTAGTAACATCAGACTAAATAAGTTATTCCAGACCTCCTCTCTTGTATTTATCAGGCTTCCAGTAGTCCCCTCCCTTTTCCCCTCTGAGAGAAAAACTTGGAAAAAGTTCTCAAAAGAAAAATAACATACGACCCTGACTCTCTAAACATTGACAGTGATTCTGCCTGTGAAGAAGGAACAAACACGATGAACACACACACACACACACACACACACACACACACACACACACACACACACACACACACACACACACACACACACACACACACCCACACACACCCACACACCCCCCCCCCCCCCCCAGGAATTAGTTGATGGCAGCCTAGGTCTCTAGCAGGGTAACCCAGGAATCCATCCTTGGCCTTCTGGTGCTGCACACTTCTGTCAATGGCTTGGCTCAAGGCAGAGCAAGCATGCTGATCCTACATGCAGATCACCCAAAGCTGGGAGGACCAAGAGCCAAGGTCAGGAACCAAAGCGTGCTTAAACAACAGCCATCCTAAAAAAACAGAAATCTGGGAATTGCAGTGGCTTGTGAGCTCAGCAGTGCCAAGCAGGGGCATATGGCAGCCACAAAAGCCACCCTCATCTCCAGGAGCATCCAGAGGACAAGGTTCTTCAGTACCAGCTTTAACGCCACCATTTCCTTGTGACACGCTGACACCTTGGGAACGGAGCTGAGACTTCCCCATCCCCACCCCCACACACACAGACCCTTGGGCTTGGGTGAATGACTGGCTGGTGACAGGACTTTCTGCCTCTCCATACCGAAGGTGAGCACTCCCAGGCACCAGGCCGGGAGGAAGCTCATCTCTACCCCAACTGCACTACTACAGGATTCCTCGGATTTTTCCTTTAGGCCCCTACATCAGGAAGGAGCATCACCTGCCACCCCCTTCCAGCTTCCTGGTTAACTGGTAAACTCCTTGAGGGCTGGGGCTGTCTTTTTTGTATTTGTATCCCCGCACTTAGCACAGAACCTGGCACCCAGCAGGCACTTAATAAATGTTTAATGACTAACTCACTCACTCCAACCCTGGTATTAACATTAGTCTGCAAGTTTTAGCTCCATCCCTGATGTTTCCTGATCAGTCCACAATCACACCTGATACAGACAAGGTGTAAATCTTTACCGCCCCTTGTGTAATCCTATAGTGTCCATCCTGCCTGAAGTAACTAAGACGCACCCAACATTGCTGAAAAGGCTGCTCAGAACCCACTGGCCTTTGCGTACCGTGTTCTATGCTCAGCACGAAAGAAACCACTTTTAAAATGTCTCGGCAGCAATACCTGTCAACAAAGCCTTGGATAATTTTTATGTTAACAGAAGCCCTCCTTCCAGGAGGGAGGCACCAGTCCCACCACCTTCTATCAGGTGAGTCACACACTGAGATGTAAAGGCAGTAATAAGCTGGAGGGCGGTGGAAGGGCACAAAGTCCAAGTCACACGAAGATTACAGGCACTGGAGATGTCTGGCCTGCAGAAGACTGGAGGGCAAGGGGAGTGGGAGGGAGGAGAAGAGAGCTATCTTCAAGTCTCTGAAGGGATGGTACACGGAGAAGTAGACTTGTTCTGTGTGGCTTCAAGAGGGAAAGAAGTGAGAGACCCCCTGGTTAGAGATGTCACAGCAAGGATTTGATGAGGTTGGGAATCTGGGCCCCAGAAAGGAAAAACCCTGGACTCTCCCACATGGCCAAATCTCTGGCAGTCCCCTGAGGCTATAATCCCATTAACCGGCCTTTCATTGTGGACCTCCCTATGGCCCCAGGCCATTTCCCACCCTTAATCCTAGCTACACTCCATTCTCCCTTGGCCACACGGTCCAGGTCCCAGGAGTTCTGTTCACCCCAGTTTACTGGCCACTCCCATCCAGATCCTCCTTAGACCCCTCCTTCAGTCACCCCAAACTACTTGGCCATTCCTAGATCCCTCCCGCAGTCTTTCTGTATATAAGGTCCATCTTGTCTTCATTAAGATGCTTAGATTCTTAAAATCTAGGCACTGCTCAGATTCTTATAATCTAGCCAATAGCTCACTAATGTTCAGACTCCTTAAGAGTCTGCCCAATATGACAGATGTTCTAATAAACCTTGTCTTTGGCTGAAAGAAGGTTTGGGTCAAATTCTTTCGGACAGGATCCACGTGTTGTGATTTTGAGGTCCAAGCACCCCTAAACCTCTAAACCTCATCAGATTCTTCGTATGAGGGGACTGGACACAAGAGCCACCGAGGTCCCTTTCAGCTCCCAAAATCAGTGATTCTGTGAATGATACACTTGACTGGAAGATCAGTCAAGCTATTTATTAGCTTTCTGACATCTGGCAAATCATCTGACTGCTCTAAGCCTCAATTTCATCACCTGTAAAATGATTGCTGGGCTAGTACAAGGGACGTCTGAAGGCCCTCGGCCCTCAGGGATCCATGACCTAGAGAAAAACCACCAGAACAGGGAGGAGGTTGGTGACCCTCCCGTGGGAAGAATGAGAGAGGCCTTTAAACAACTGAAGGGCTGATTCTCCAGCAGATAAGTGATGAAAAGATTTAAACAGTTCTTTAAGAGACGAAATGCAAACTACTAACAATCACAAAAAGAATGCCCCAAATCACTGGAGGGAAATGCAAAGTAAAGCAACTGAAGTTTCACCTCATATTCAACTGTCAAAGGTGATGCAAGGACAGAACAGTTCATGTTGGCCAA